ATGGAAGTGAACACAATCTTTTATCCTTTGAACCATTCAGCTGGTAAAATGTGATCATCACACCACAGAGAATGGTGCCATCACTGGTTGGTCAAGAAGCAGATGTGAATTAAATGTTTCCTATGCTACCATATTTTCCAGAACATACTGACTGATCATTTTGCATAACTTGGTTTATATGGATTTTTAGTGTGAACTCTAAAGTCTACTGCAGCTTGTAAAATCAGTACCAAGAATTGCTATATTTGTTCTATAGGCAATTATACATATATTTGAATGCATTCACCAATATATGATGTGTTTTTTGGGGCCTGTTGCATGCCTCTTTCAAATCTTCTCTGATTCTTTCAAGGCACATATACTCTTGGACAACAGAAAAATCTTACCACAACTTAACTATCCCATTGTGTAAACAAACTCCAGCAAGGATGGAAAGTAAGACTAGCCAACTAGTAATTTCAAGTGTTATGTACTCTTTCTAATTCATTAACATAAGATTATCACAGAATGGACTCATGTTTTCTTCCAAATTTTAATGATCTGGCTTCCTGTTTGGAATGACTTAACATCCCAATGGCACAAACTGTATTGTTACTTGTCTTCATCTCTATGCATGAGATGAAGAACTATGTAAGGAATTTACATTCTTTTCAAGCTATTCTATTTTAATTAGCTGTTAATGAATGTGAGTCAGTAGTTGTGTGATGCAAACAATTGATAGAGAAGGATACAGAGTCTAAATTGTTCAGGGAAATCCATATAAATTTCAACAAGCATAGATTAAAATAATAAAAAGTTCTTTTTAAGTTGGAAAATTACTGTGCCTGTCAAACTTATATATCTATGGACTGCAAGAAAATGGGACATCAAATCATATGTGAAAGTTTGGGAGTATCTTATTTACTGCCTAAGTCAGCAAAATGCACTGGTGCCCATTTGTTTCAAATGTTGCCCTTCAGTCTTGGCTGTTCCCCTAGGTTCTCCAAGGGAATGGTATCTGTCAGGATCTCTGCCCTAACAACTAACAGCTTCTCTGTTATTCTTTCATGCAGAGGATGAGATGTATTACCTGAATCTTAATTGTCTATTAATCATCTTTCCCATTATCCCTTTAGAATTTTGAATCTAATTTACAGTATAGTTTATTATGAAACAGGATCAAAGCAAGTGTGGTCCATGTGGAGTTTTCAAGCATCTGATTGCTTTTATTTAAATTTTTAAGGATTGGAGAAACCTGATATCTCTTGATCTTTCTACTCTTAAGAGTCCTTGGTGCTCATTGCAAGATATCCTTATCATCTCATGGGGATCTTGTGATAAAATTGAAATAGCAAATTTCATTAATATAAATACATAAGAAAGGTCAAAAAACCCCCTAATAAATAGTAGTTTTCAAATTACACTTTAAAATCCTCCTATAGAAACTGAAAATACTTATTGCTGTGCTATTTGCCCCAAGAGGGTCTGAAACAGTATATCTCAGCAGAGTGAACAATTCAATTCAGCTTTAATTGAATATGAAAATTTAAAACCCGGTTTTTATGAGCTTAATCAGCTGCATTTCAGCAGAGGGCAACAATGATAGGCTACAATTCTTGCAAAAAAGGTAATAGTACGGAACAATATTCTTCTGCATTTCTGCTTCTCTGCCATGAAGAATTTTAAATAATAAAATTTAAAAAGCCCCAAACATTTGCAATCATTGTGCTCACCTGAAGCCGAGGCCTGCTCATTTGTGTACCTGCTGAGAAGTGCTGTGTTCCATGTTCTTGTTTGTTTCCTCTGCAGAGCAGTCACAGCCATCACTGTGAAAATATCCATCTGTGGTTGCAACACAATTGCAGCACAAAAATGACTGAATTTGGCCATGAGACATTTTTCATTATGTTCCACTTCATATCATCTCCCTGCCCAGTATTCTTCATGTCTGTGGTGTCCAAACATACTGTGAGATGAATTTTTGGAACATATCTGGTAAAATATATTTGTACCATAAACAATCAGTTATGCTTTGAACTAATCTTTTTGAGAGCTTTCACTAAAATATATTTTTCCCATCTCTGAAAATTTTCAAAACCAGAACTCTGGATGGAACTCTGAAAAACCTCATCTAGTAAAAGGTGTTCCTGACCATGGTAGGGGTTGGAACTAGATGATCTTTAATATTGCTTCTAATATAAACCATTCTATATTTCTATGATTCCATTATTGGTCTTGTATTATCACCACTAACCTATTTGATTGTCAGATGCCAGATACTGCAGAGACCTTCTTTTTGACTTCTCCTTCCTCCTTCCACCTTGAATTGATCATCAGTTCCCAAATTACTTTCTCTATGGTGTTCTTAGGTTTTTTTTTAACTAATTTGCGTTCATGGAAATTGAATCAGAAGAGAATATCATCCCTCAGCACCTGTTTTGTTATGCTTGAAGTGGAAACAGGTAGTTCTTTCTAGCTTCAAATCAGCCTATATTGTGTTCAGAGAAGGGTTTGTTTTCTAGCTGCTTCTTCTTCTGTCTCCTTTTGTCCCATTCCTGATTTTTAATTGCTCTGTATAAACACATCTTTCTAAAGAATATTCTCAGAATGCCTCTTTTTTTTAGTGTAGTATCTTGCTGGTGTGTTTTATTTAGAAATATTACATTCTTTTATATTTGCAGTGTATTGTACTGGTGTCCTGTGATGAAAACAAATTTAATTTTATTTAATTGCATCAGTTACATAGTGCTGTGTGCTATGATTGTGCACAATAACATATAGTATTACAATGAGTTAAGTAGAGTTATGGAAGACTGAAGCAACATTTCTCTTTTAGATAACCAGTAACAGAGATTTTTTTTTTTTCTCTTTTGATTTCTGTTAAATATTTACTTTTAGGTTTTAATTACCAAATATTTTAGATCTGGAAATTAAATTTTACTCAATGTACATTGTAACATGCTGGGAAGAACATATACATGCTGCCTAATTGTAGAACATTTTTATTCTGTAATGTCCAATATTTATGCACGTGAATGATAAACATGTAGCTGTTCCTAAAAATTAATCATACTTAACAATTTTTAGTTTCAGATAGATTTGAACAACTATAATGCAGTTCTCAGGTTTCTGTAAAAGAAATAAAAATAATGCATTTCAAGAAATCACCATTTTACCTGAAAGATAAACATAGTTGATAAAACAACCATGTAATGTAGATGCTTAGATTGTACTTCAGAAAATGAGCTGGCAATTTTTGAATTATAAAATTATATTTCAAATATATATTTACATTTCAGAAGAACACTCACAGGACACAATGCACCTAATGTACTTTGTTAAAGAAAACAAAGTAATCTCTGTATTTGGAGTAAACAAAACAATCCTAAATTATTTAATATGTAACTGTAACTTGCCGCTAAGTATATATTTTCAGTATTTTGTTTAGAAAAGTAAAATTTCTTTTTCTTAACATTGTTCTTTGAGAACTTTAAATTTTCAGGCTATTAGGTGTAGCGTTTGCTTAGATGAAAATACATGGTTTTGACAAGGACTTTCATAGTCTCTACTAGCACAAACAGGGATTTAGCATGCTGGAGTAATTAACATTTCATTTAGGAATAAATCCCAGAAGTCTTCTAAAAAATAAAAAAATTTTATGTCAAAAATGTGGGGTTTATCTGCTTTTTATTTTAAAAAATCACATAAGTTAGTTGGTATCTTGTATAGATTAATTTTTTAGTATTTCTGTATCCATTGAATGTCCGTGTTCCTCTAATGCTTCTCCTTAACTAACATTGAGGAAAGGAGGAAGCTGAGGCTGATGCACATGCAAGAAGGCTAGAGAAGTTGTTCTGACACTTTTGATGCAGGATACATTTAAAAACTGTTTGCCAGCATATTCTTGACAGTGGGAATTATCCTTTGATAGCAAAACTGTAGGATGTCAGTGACAAACTTGCTCAGATTTTGCATGAGGAATTCAAAGAATTCAAAGAGCTTGCCATTGCAGCCTGGTTCTGAAGTCTGCAAAACACATTGCCACTCACATCTCTGCATGTAGTTGTTTAGGGACAATATTGTAAACCCTGGAGGAAATTCAATGGTGATGCTTCTTTTCTTCTAAAAATATGTTGCAGGTTGGTTGAAGCAGTTTAATGTTATACTGTGGTTTCAGGGATTTCCAGATAATTCAGATACATTCTATATAGATACCTAGCTGGCAGTATCTTTAATTTAAATATGTTTTTATTCTAGGTATTAGGTATCTGGCATGAATGCACATTTTAGATTTTCTAGATTGTCAAAGGCTTTCAGAACTTATGCTTAAAAACCAACATTTTTCTCCTAGTAATGGTAGGAATGGGTATGTTCTACACATAATTCTCTTTGTATTGGACACTTCTGTGTCATAAAGCTGGCAATGTTTGTTCAGATGGAGTCCATGAACTTCAGGGCTAAATAGAAGCTCGTCATGAATTAGGTGTCACAGACTAGTGTTCTCTTTACTTTTCATCTAGGCGTATTGTTGAATGTTTTAAGAAAAAAATCAAACACTTATCAGAACTGATTTTGCATACTTGATTTTGCACCTAGGATTTCCAAAGCTATTTCAGCCCAAATCTTCATCATTCCTTAAGGAAAGGAACTTGCTTTGAGTTTAATGACTTTGGTGGTGGGCAGTAAGTTGCTATGAAATAATTTTATTTAGAGTTAAATATTCTAGCTTATTTTATATCTTTTAATAAGAAAAAACAAATAAAAAAAAATCATAGTGTTTCAGAATTTAGAAATAATTTTGCATGCATGCACCTCTCCTGGATTCTAAACAGCAGAATGAACCACAAAGTGACCACAGAAATACCCCACTGTTCAACTGAGCATGCCAAAGGTATTTTCTATTTTGCAAGCATAATTTGGATGGGAGAGTCTAATATATGTGTCTAAAATACAAATTTTTTTGGTTTTGTTTTTCCTTCTAGTGACTGAGTATTAATCTATTTCTTTATTCATTTTTATAGATTAAAAAAATCAACAGGAATTTTCCCGTAAATCAGCAGGTAAGAAAAATAACATTTGGGGTTTTTTAAATTTATAATTCTAATTCTCACTTGAACCGTCTTTAATTGTGTGGTAGCTATTCATTATTCAACCTGAAGAATTCTCAGTAGATTTTCTTTAGAGAGTACCTTGGTGTTTTTAATTTCTCAACTCAAAGGGAATTGGATTGTTTCATCAAAGTAAGAATATACCCAATCTTTTCAAATTAACCTATTTGATGCAGGTATATATACTTGTCTTCAGATTGTGTCTTACCAATTTTACTATAAAAGGGGAATGTTATCATTATCATCTACAGAATTAGCCAGAATAAATCAGTGTTACAGAATTCTAAAAATGTATGGTCTTTTGGTGTGGGGGTTTTTTTGTGGTTTTTTTGTTTGTTTCTTTTTTTCTATTGACAAATGAAGGCATAACAAATTAATATTTGCACAACTATGTAATCCAAGTATGAATAAAAATTACCAGGATAAAACTCAGTACACTGTACAGTTAATGAAGTATATGTTGTGTATGACAACTATTAATTATATAATGACAATCTCCTTTTAAGAAACGTGTTAAGAGGAAACAGAATAACCTGATTCATAAGAAGGAAAAAAACTGCTTCCTAGTAGAAGGAGAGAAATATTTATTGGACTGACCTGTAAGCTCACCTTCAAAATGACAGATTTGAGGAAGAAAAATGTTTTCATCTTCCCTACACCAAATCTTCAGTTAGTCAACATATTTCTCAGTTGCCTTTCTCTAGTCCAACTTTATTTATATGGAATTGTGCTGAGTGTCACCCACTAAGGAGGGAGATGCTTCTATTTTATTTTCTGTTTTCTTCTTGAGAAAATCCACAAATGTAAAAAATTAATGAAAATAGTATAATACTACTAATATTAACAATAATAACTATATGGGTAAGTATAAATTAAGCTACAATAAATCAAGTTAACATTTGCTTTTTTGAATTTTAATATTTTTCATAAAACATTAAATGCAGAGAGTGCAAAGATATGCTCCTATCTCAAAAGAAGGAAGAAGATACTGGCTAGTGAACAAAAAGCAGTTAGCTGTATCCCTTTTCACTGCTATGATTCACCCTGAACTTACCTCTTTGCTTTCATTACTGTAAAAAATAAAGACAAAAAAAATTATAAACAACAGTTATAATGTCCCACCACTCTAACATATAATTCAGGGATCTCTGCTGTTATGGAACTTTCAGCACACAGGGTCAACAAGGCATTTTATTCCTCATTAGAACTCTTGTGGAAAGCAAAAATACCTTTCCTGGCTTTAATAGCTTTTTGGCCATGTTATCTGTTAGGACAGCCTGCAATTATAATGCATTCATCTCTCATCAACACCAATCATTATACTCCAAGGGAATTACTCTGGAGCACTTCAAGAAACCCAGTCAAAAGGTCAAACTGGAAAGAGAGGCTGATTTGATGGGCAGTGAGACTGGTAAGATCTTGTTGCCTGTCAAATACTGGAGAAGAAAAAGGTTTCTTTATCTGTGGATGTCTGGCATTTTATGGAACATTGAATTCAAAACCAGATTTCCTTTTGAGGTTACCTTATGTAGAGAGGGTTGCAGTTTTTTACCATAAAAGAAGTTAGGAAAAAATCACCATATTTAAGTGAAATAATTAAATAATATTTTTGAGTAGAGCTGGAAAAGGCTACACAAATGTAAGGTTAATTTCTGTCTTTATGTGCAGCAAATGTTAATATGGTATGCAGGGAAGAAACAGGATTTTTACTTGTTATATAAACACATATTTTATCTAAAAATTAAAATATCGTCTCAAATACTCTTGCCATCTTGATTTCTTTTAAATAAAATTAATTTTTGAATAAGAGGTTGAACAGCTAGTTTTAACTTCTTTCTGCAAGCACATAATGAACTTGAAAGCCGTCTTCATCCTATTATGCTTTTTTAAAAAAAGGGGTGTGCATAATTAATTTCACTTAAAAAATACCCATGGGTTTTTTTAATGAGCACTAGTAGAGTAATTGAAGGTTATTTTCACTTAGAATTTATATATATATATATATATGTGGATTTTAATTAGTTAAGTAAAGAGGGAAGGCAGTTGTCAAACTGGAATCCAGGAACCAACCCTTAGGATCCCTTCATGAAAATATTCTTGATATGGAGAGGACAATAGGAGCACAGACAGGCCCGTTAGCATTACAATGATGAAAAAAATGCACCTGCATAGGTGTGTAAGATGCTGCAACTCCAGTAGTGTTATCCAAACATCTCAGTGTTGCAGCAAGTTAAAAAGATAAAAGTAATTAGACAAGAATTCTTGTCTGCACATAATGTGGCAGCTTTCCTTTAACTCAGTAATTGTGAAAGTAGGTTTGTCTGGAAAATCATTAGAAAGATAAGATACATTAATTAAAATTTAAAGATCAAATATGATGAGTATTGATAAGGTGGTTATTATGTGGACAGCATGAAACAATAAGAAGTTCTCAGAATGGTGGTAGTACATTTAATAATGGTGGAAAGATGATGCAAAAAATGCTGGAAGAAGACCCCACAGGCAAAAAAAAATATTTTTGAAGAAGATTGTGGGACAGGAGGGAAATGAAGTTTCCTCTCTGGGTAAACAGCGACAAAAAGAACACTTGAAATGGTAAAAAATAGAAAATCAGTTGTGTTTTCTATATTGGAACTGTATGTGTTGGATGTAAATAGTCACATTTAAGAATATAATAGCAAGTAGCTAAGAAAAAAAAATAATTTTGGACTCAAAATGTACTGCGTATTTCAAATATGCACTAAAAATTATGATGTTGTAGACAAAATTTCCATAAATTCAGGGAAAAAATTATATAGACCTCATAGCAGAGAGTCACAAAGAATGGAATATTTCAATGCTTCAGCCAGAGGCTTCTCCAGTTGATCAGCCAAGATGGGAGTGGAATCATGGGCATGTTTCCTTTTCTTGGAACTCCTGACCTCTGCTGAGCTGTTACACTTATTACAGCAAATGTCAGCTCCTGCTAGAGCCATCATTAGGCAGGTGAATTTTGAAAGGCAGCACTGACTCCCTGCTAAGGCTTTCCAAATAACAGTCAGTAAACTGTGGTGGTGTAATGAGGACAAGCACTGCCCATTCCTTTTCAATTCCGAGTCTTTTCATTTTCCACCATGGATTTGCAAATGTGCTGATCTAGGCTGGAAATCGACCTGATGGCATCTAGAGAAATGAGCATTAAGACAGTCCTTATAAAGCCTTCTGATCCTTTTCAGGGTGAGAAACCAAATGTAGCCTCCAGCTACTAGAGATTTTACTACACATTATAACTCTCATTTGCTATTTGGGATTCATTGGGATTTGGCTTTTACTGGTTGCCATGCCAGGAGGACGAATTGACAACATCTGGCTTAGGTACACAGTGGAATTCTAGGCTTAAATCTAAATCTTAGGCTGGCCTGCAGTTCACCTCTTCCTGTCGCTACATAACAATTGGTAAATTGCAGCTGGGAAAGTCATAACTTTCTGACTCCCATTTTAACTTATTTCACTCAACAAGGCAGTGGTACAAAACAGATACTGCATGTGGCAAATTCAAGGAGTAGATTTTTCATTTCATGGATTATGGCTATGTTCACGTACATGTTCAAAATGTAATAAATGGACACTTGCTTCTCTACTACATGGGCAACAGTCAAGTCTCAAGGTTTCACTTGAAACAGATAAAAATACCATGTCAGAGCAGTGTATTTTTAATTTTTTTTCCTATATTGTATGTTTCATCTCTGTTACGACGAATACAAAGACTGTGACCCTCCACTTTTCATACACTGAATTCACAAGAAAAGTATAGTGGAGAGGAATGCTATAATCCTTTTCATTGAACACTATTTCTCTTCTTTCTACATGTAGCATGAGAATTTTTGTAATACTTGTATCTCCAGAAGATAGGAAATTTTCATTAAATAATTTTGGCTTTTAAGGATAATTTGTCACTCTAGAATTTTTCTGCTTTATTGGAAAGCAATTGATAGGTGGTCTATTCAAAGTTGACAGTTTATAACAAGAATCATGTGAGAATTTGAAGGAGTGTTTAACTGTCTTTAATTCAGTTTTAAAACAAGATCATGGCATAATTAACTGATGCCACGCTAAGGCCAGAAACTGGGGTATCACTGTGCAGTCAAGAGCCCTGTTTTTTTGCAGACATGTTACATTCTTGATGGCCAAGAATGGGGTGATAGGATACATCTGATGGCATTCACAAATACACATGGCTATGCCCATTTGATTTTACTTCTTATATAATGTAATAAAAACAACTATACACAGATGTACCAGATCAGCTATGCTGCATCACCTCATATTCCTCTTTAATAGGGTGTTGTGAAGTTTTACTAAAGTTCTACAGTTAGAACAATCTTATTTAAAATCTTATTTAAATCTTATTTAAAATTCTAGAAGTTTGACTCGGTGAGTTTATTTAATAAAACCAAACTTATATGTACTATATAAAAGTGAGTACACACAAATGTCATGGTGACTGTCTTGTCTGTCAATCAAGCCAGCGTTCTTTGCTGCAGATGTGATGCATCTCTGTTGCATCTGAAAATGTGAATTCCATCCCTCAGGTGAATTGATAGGACTGATAGGACAACATCTGTTCTACTGATAAACACCTGTATGAAATACAGCACATACCTTTCTTTTCTTATTACTAATTGCAGAGTAATAGTCTCCATTGCTATTGTTTTGGTAATTTGAAAATGCAGTGATTAAATAGAGAGTTTTTCTGAAATCTGGCATGTCCTCAAAAGAAATCAAGTTAGTTTTAGAAGTACATTAAGAGCAGTGATTTTGTTCCCTCTCCTTAGTGTATTTTGTTTCCTTTTTTCTTTTTTTTTTTTTCTTCCTAATTTTGCATGTCTGTTGAATTAATTATTTTCCAATATTCTGTTCTGTGGTACCTCAGAGTAGCCATCCTGCAGCTCTTGACTGACAGTTACTGAACT